CTCCTCCTCCTCCTCCTCCTCCTCCTCCTCCTCGACCTCCTTTTCATCCCGAACGGCATCTCTGAGCCTAGAGTTGCGAGGATGTCTCCAGCGTAACGGGCCGGACCATCTTGCGCGCGGCATCTCGGACCCCAGAGTTGCGACGATGTCTCGGGCGAAACGTGCTGCGAGGAAGTCTCAGGCGAAACGGGCCGGACCACCTCGAGCGCGGCGTCTCAGAGCTCCGAGTTGCGGGGGCTTCCTGGGGCCTCCCGAGACCTCCTGGTGACCTCCTGGGGCTTCCTCCTGGGCCTCCTGTGGCCTCCTGGACCCCACCTGGGGCTTCCTGAAGCCTCTTGGGGCTCCCAGGGGGGATATCTAACCTGTGGCCGTTTGGGCCTCTCCAAATGGAGGGGGGGGCACAAGAGCAGGAAAAATCAACGAATCGACACCGGATGTGTATTAACTTGACACGTTCTGATAAGCGGCCTCCCGGGGCCTCCTGGGAGCCTCCTGGGAATCTCCTGGAGACCCCTGGGGCATGTCCTGGGCGTCCTGCGGCCTCCTGGTGCCTCCTGGGGCCTCCTGGGGACCTCCTGAAGCTTCCTCCTGGGCCTCCTGTGGCCTCCTGAACGCCACCTGAGGTTTCCTGAAGCCTCTTGGGGCTCCCAGTGGGGATATCTAGCCCGTGGCCGCTTGGGCCCTCAAAATGGGGGGGGGGCACAAGAGCAGGAAAAATCAACGAATCGACACCGGATGTGTATTGGCTTGACACGTTCTGATAGAGGGCCTCCTGGGGCCTCTTGGGAGCTTCCGGGGAATCTCCTGGTGGCCCCTGGGGCCTGTCCTGGGCGTCCTGCGGCCTCCTGGACCTCTCTGGGGCCTCCTGAGGCTCGCAGGGTCCCTGGGAGGATATGTAACATGTGGTCTTCTGGGCCCCCAGGCTGGACCACCTCTCGCGCAGCATCTGGGAGCTCAGAGTTGCGAGAATGTCTTGTGCGAAACAGGCCGGACCACCTTGCGCACGGCATCTCAGAGCTCAGAGTTGCAAGGATGTCTCAGGCCAGACGGGCCAGACCACCTCGCGCAGGGCATCTCAGAGCTCAGAAGTTCGAGGATGTCTCAGGCGAAACGGGCCGGACCACCTCTCGCGCGGCATCTCCGAAGTCAGAGTTTCGAGGATGTCTCAAGCGAAACGAGCCGGACCACCTCGCGCAAGGCATCGCAGAGCTCAGAGTTTCGAGGATGTCTCAGGCGAAACGGCCAATCCCGGCCAACTCAGAACCGAGAGTTGTGAGGATGTCTCAAGCGAAACGGCCAAAACCATAACATTTTTGTGAGGATGTCTCTGCTCCGACTTCCCTCGGCCGGAGTTAGTTTCTATCACACCAGCACCCCGTTCAGCAAGCTGTTTGGGGAAACAATGATAATAATAATAAGAAGAAGAATAACCGTCGACGACGCCGACGACGAGGTCGACGACAACGCCGTCGATGACGACGCTGGCGCTGTCGACGTCCACAGACCTCCGATTGGCGCGATTTCTCTCCTCGCCTGGCCCCTGGGAGTCCCGCAACACCCTTCCCGGAAAGCAGCCTCTCTCGCCCCAGACTGTCTGACGGCCTTGGCGGCCGAGAGACATCGTCCTGAGTCCACGGAGGAGGAGGAGGGAGGCGGAGGAGGAGCCGGGGAAGAGGAGGAGGAGGAGGCCCAGCAGGAGGAGCAGGAGGAGCAGGAGGAGGAGGAGGAGGAGGAAGTGACCGCCCTGATGTTTTCCAGGACGCCTGAGGCCGTACTGCTCGGCCAGGGCTGCCCGTCATCGTGTCTGGGTCGTCTTCGTCCACGACGTCGCGATGTGCACCTCAATTCGCATTCCGAGAGCGCACCTCGACGTCCGCGCGGCATCACCCAGACATGCCATGTGTGCGTCGGTCCCACAGACGCTTACAGTGTCAGCACGGTGGCGGGCGTTCTGGCCGTGCCGCACAGGCAACGATGCGCTAGAACACGTTCGTGCAGCACGGTCGGGTCGCGAGGTGCCCGCGGAAGGCCGCGCGTGAGCGCTCTCGTTTCCAATGTAGCGTGCCGCCTTGGCGGCCTGCGTAAGGTCGCTATGCCACCTGGCGTAATGCCCGCCCCTGGTCGTCGCTCAAACTATGTTGGCATGGCCGTCTGCGCCCCGTCCGTCGCTGGGGCCGAGGCGCCTGACGGGCGGCCTCGGCGCCTGGCGGGAGCTCGTGCTGCTCGGCCCGGGCTCGGCGAGGGGCCGCCGGTTGTGCCCGGCCACCGCGCGGCTCCTGGGGTCGGTGCCCGGGGCCAGGCCGGTCCGGTCCGTCGTCGGTCGGTCGGTCGTCGTTGTCTCCGCCGCCTTCGATCGTCGTCTTCTATCGCCGTCAGGGACGAGGAGGTGGTGGGAGGAGGAGGAGGAGGACTAACGACCCTGAGCCACCAGCCTGAGCCTGAGAAAGAGGAGGAGGACCAGAGCAAACCCACGACCCATCAGCACTGTTGCAATACAACTTCTCTCCAAGTTCCCTCCTTCACAGGCTTTTATAATGAGGATTTAATTTCACTGCGGGAAGGGTCACGTTGGAAGGCGACCGTCAAAAAATGTTCAATTGTGCCAAAGCGCCATTCCTGGGACTTCAACGCCTCGAGTCCACGTTACTGTCGCGACCTGACAATTCTAAATCGTGTAAATGCACCTATGTGCGCCGCGCCAAGGCGAGAGCCACAGTTAGGAAAGGAGCGCCCTCCATCCGTGAAACCTTTGCAATTCTGTAAGGCGAATGTGCGCGACGCTCAGGCGAGAGCCACATTTTGAAAACCGCCCGCCCTCCATCCGTGAAAGTGTTGCAAATGTCAAGCTTCAGGATCATAAATCGTGAGGGAGGCTCAGGCGAAACGCCTGGCCCTCCCTACCGACCCGTCTCGGGGTACGACAAGGACGGAATACTTTTCAGACAGAGGGATGGAGGATCGGATCTAGCCAGGACCCTGGGTAAGGGAAGCTGGTCAGCCGGTCAGTGATAAGGTCTGGAGGCAATCAAGCAAATGCCGTATTTGCGCTATGGCGATTGGCGATTAGTTCAGTTCGTGACGTCTTCGACGCGTCGTGTTGCCTCGCCGAACGTTGCAGATCAGTTCAGAGCGCTCGGCAACGGCATTCCTTGATCATGACTCTGTCCCCGGGGCGACGGCAGCGCTGGCGCGCGGTACCTGCGGGGGCTCGGTACCAGACCAGGCCAGAACCACTAATCCAGGTTTGCCGTAGTTTGTATTTATGTGTGGGTGTTTTTCGGATGACGACAGTTCCGGTTAGCGGGGCTGGGTGCGGGGGGGCCTTGCAGTACCGCGACGTTGCCCTGCCCAGGGCGCGCTGTTGCGCCCCCGACAGGCTCACCGGCGCGGTGCCGCAGGGCGCCGATGCCGGCGCGTTTCGGATGTGTCTCCTTGGATAACTGAGTGCCCCTGAAAGTAAAGCATCCACCTACACTTCCCATTCAGGCCTGAGAGTTGATTATCCCAGGCCAAGACAGAGTTGGTCGGGGGAGATGGGCGGCGAGGCCGAACTTCATCATCGTCGGGGAATATCATCCTCTCGTGTTGAATAGAATGGCAACCGTATCACGAACGTGTGGCAGGGCTATGTGAGTCTCAGCATGTTAACTTTCCCAAGCCATCAACGTGTGGTAGGGCTATGGGGGTCTCACCGTTTCAGCTTTCCCAAGTCACGCATGTGTGGCAGTGCTATGGTGATCTCACCATTGCAGCTTTTCTAGGTCACGAACGTGTGGCAGGGCCATGCGATTCTCACCTTCAGCTTTCCCAAGTCACGAACGTGTGGCAGGGCTATGGGATTCGCCGTGCGAGTTCCGAGCCCTGGAGGAAACATTCCAGCTCTACTTCCGTACATACGATTTTCCGGACGAGAGATTTATTATACCCTCCGAACCCTGAGCTTTAAAATTTCCCGGGGATTATTTTCAGGGGCATGTGTTTATGTTTTGCCGGTTTCGAGGACATTGGAGCATCGAATGTTGTCTAAGTCTCCGGTGTCTGGAGGCGAGCAAGGTTCTGGGCTCCAGTCAGTCGAAAATCGGTCGGATTTGAAAAACCGATCAGAATGCGCCCGTGGAGGGGTCCGGGACGGAATATGAGCGGAGTTTGGTTGTAAGGCTCAGCAGATAATGACGATAGCCATGCTGATTCCTTTTCCTCGTCTTTGATATTCTGGGCCTCTTGGGGGGCCCTCGTCGCCGCAGCTGGATATGTGGCGGTTGCGGCGGAGGGTGTCAGCCCGAACGGGGATCAGCCAATCCCCTCTGATTACACCTGGGGCCTCGAGATCGATCTGGAGGCTGACGGCTGACATGGGCCAGCGCTGGCCCAGCCCGTCCCCAGAGGGATATTCGCCATGAAATGAAGCCAATGGGGTCTTGAGGGACCCCAGGGCGTTCCCCAGAGCCAACTCTTCCGCCTGAATCGTGCTGACAGTCCGGGGTCCGTGGACGGCCCCAGTAGGCTCGAAACTGGCGAGGAGCTTCCAGGACTCCTCTTCACTCCAGGACCCGATTTCCTCAGCGCCGGTGTCGTTCCCGAAGCGGCAACGTTGGGCCGCAGCCCGCTGATATCGTAATGCATGCGACGGTCGGCAAGCCGCGCACCAATTGTTTATCTTGCCTTGGGTCGCTCTTGCGTCGTAACCGATTTCACAACATCAGCCGATACGTTTTTGTTCAATCCGTGGTCCCAAAGGACCCGACCGCTTCCCTGGAGGTAGTTTTCCTGTCCAAGATCGATTGTTGATGGTCCTGGGGCTTCCGGGGGAGGACGCCTCCAGGGCTCTGCTTGTCTTGCTTTTTTTTTCTTCTCTCTCTCTCTCACTCCTCCTCCTCCTCCTCCTCCTCCTCCTCCTCCTCCTCCTCCTCCTAAGGCTCCCGCATCCGCAAGTTGAGAACAACAGCGCTGGCTGAGAGCAAATCAGATCGTCGGAGATTTGGGCAGATGGCCCCCGCGAGGCAGCTCGCCGAGCACCCGTCGGGCTGCGGCAACGCGATACTCTCGCTGCTGGCGCCGGGGACCTCGCTGGCACCACACTGCTTGGGTGCTGCCAGAGGTGTCCCTGGCCGAGGAGGCGGAGGAGGAGGAGGAGGAGGAGGATGAGGGAGGGAGGAGGGAGGAGGAAGGAGGAGGGGAAGGCAGGAGGAGGGGAAGGACGGAGGAGGAGGAAGAGGAGGAAGCGTCCCCAGGATCTCCAGAGCGGCCCCCGCGCCTTGCAGAGCAACCCCCCGCGAGGCCTGGAGCGCTCCACGACTTCCAACGCAGAGCGAACAGCTGAGGGCGCCCTGGGCCAGGGACACCTCCGGCAACACCCGGACTGCGGGCCCACCAACGCGCGCCTGACGTGCCACTTGGGTGTCCGGGTGCCGGGCGGCTGCGGCCTGCGCGTCGGCACCGAGGCGCGCCAGTGGCGCGAGGGCCGGTGCCTGGTCTTCGACGACTCCTGGGAGCACGAGGCCTGGAACGGGAGCGGCAGCGCGCGCGTGGTCCTGCTCGTCACGGCGCGCCTGGCGGCCACCTCCGCCAGCTCGCGCCAGGCTCCCAGGTCTCCGATGAGATTCGGCGGTGAGCCCAGGGGGGAATGCGGAGGGGGCGGTCCTGCGCAGGAAGCTCGGAAGGCCTCTGGCCTTTTGAGAAGTTGTCCAAGCCTTGTCCGAAGACAGAGACGGCGTCTCAAAAGGCCAGAGGTCTTCTGAGAAGCCGTGCCGCCCTCCGAGAAGTCGTGCCCTCTCTCATTTCTCCCTGGGCGCGCCGCCGAGATGTTCTCTCTTCAATCGGGCGTTTTTCCTCGATGTCGGCCTCTGGGGCCCGTGATCGGGCCCCGGGGCGATCAGCAGTGGATCCGGGGCTCGAAACTTGCTTCGGGGAGGGGTCGGGACCTCTGGGGCCGCGCGTTGAAACCATCATATCGTTAGGTCGGGCCTGTCCCCCTACAGGCGGATTATGGGCAAACACGTAACAATAATTATTCAAAACATGCTCCGAGCATGCTCAGAAATAGTCAAATCGTACGATTTTGCAACTTTCTTTGAAGATCCCTCCTGTAGAGGGACCAGCCCGACTGAATCATATCGTGGCGGGGTCGGCCCGGCTCTGCCCCTGCCCCCATCACACGGGGCGTGTGATCGGGGCGGGCCCTCTGCGGCCCGCCGTTGGGATCTGGGCTTCCTCGCCCTCGCTGGGTCTCGGCCTGCTTCGGGGCCCCTCCAGGGTCGGCCCGGCTCGTGGAGTACTTCAAAGGAGAGGAGTCCGGGGCTCTGGCCTGAAGTCATCACACGGGGTCGTTTTCTTGTTGTCCGCGACAGCGGGTCTCAGAGGCGGGCGTAGCCCAGAGCGGAAGAGGGGCGGACAGGTGGACGGAAGGGGGTGGATACGGAAAGGGCGGGGAACGGAATCTGCTGCGTGCAGCTGGTTTCGGCCCCGCACAGGTTTCAGCAGGCCGAGATCTTTCTGCGCTTCCCGAAGGAGCACGTGAGTGCACAACGGGAGAAACAGGGGGGGGCAACTGGTCCAGGGTCCAGGTTGGGCTGGCGGCTTAATTTCTGGCACCCTGGCCTGCCAGCTGCCTGGCACCCCGACGAGGTGCTGAGGCCGCACAAGTCGATGTCCACCATGGCGCTGGAGGTTGCCAGCGACAGCGAGCCTGAAGCCTCTTGACGCGCCAGAAAGAATTTATCGCGCAGTCGCGTCCACGAATCGTTTCCAGGTGCCGACTCCGCTCGGAAGAATCAACATGGTATAAAAGGTATGAGCATAGAGTTTGTGAGGTCCGCCTGGACCTCCAGAAGTTTATGTTTCTATAGTCTGAATATGAATGATTAAGCAGTAGCTATTGTTGGACCCCTACAAACGCCTTGGCGCTCTCACCTCGGCGCCAGCTGCATTTCCTTTACAGTTGAGGCTCCCGCCCGAGCGTTTCGGGGTTGCACCCAAGCCGCCCCCGCAGCAGCAACTCAACAACAGCAGCAACAACACCAATAACAGCAGCAGCAACAACGACAACAACAACAACAGCAACGGCAACAACACACAACAACGGCAACAAACACAACAACGGCAGCAGCAACAACAACAACAACAGCAGTAGCAGCAGCAACAAACACGACAACGGCAACAACAACAGCAGCAGCAACAACACTGATCTTGATATTGCTCGCCCGGATCTGCTCACGTGCCATTCAACACGTTTATCCCAAACCCTCGATACCCGCCCTCTTCGTCTTCAATCGTACCCCCCTAGGGGCATATTCTTGTTTCCTGCAGCGTCTGCACCGCAAGGAAGGCCAGGGAAAGGCCACACGAGGGCACCCGGGGAACGTCGAGCCCCTCCCGAGGCCAGAGCTGGACCCTGCGCCCAGCGTCTTGGCCGCACCTGCCCGTGGCCCTCGGCGTCCGCGCCGGGGAGGCCCGCCCCCCCTCGGCCCGCAGCCCGCCCTCCCTCGGCACACAGCCGCGCGCGCGCTGCCCGGGCCGCGCGCGCCCGCTCGCCCGCTGGCGCGCGCGCGCGGGCACGCGGGGAGAGCGCGTCGCGCACGTGGGCGCGAGGCCCGTCCGCGCTGTGCCTGCCGCCCCTCCCGCTCTTCCTCGTTCGCCTCTTTCTCCTCCTCCTCCTTCTCCGCCGTCTCCCTCCTGCTAGGCCTCCGAGAGCGGGGGGCGGGTCGGGTGTGGGGGCAGGGTGGGTGGGGCAGCAGCACTCTCAACCTCCTCCGTCCCAGGCTGTGTCGGCTTTGTGGGGCAAGCTCGAAGGCTTCCCTGATGCCAGCGACTCGGTCGACGACGACCCTCCCCGCGAAGCGAGGCTCTGGGTCGAGTAGCGTCTCCATCGACGGCCTTTGAATTTCTAAGCCTCTGGCTAGTACGCTTGCGGCTAGTCTTTGTCAGGTCAAAATGATAGGCTCCAGAAGAGGCCCGAGTAGATCGGGTCGGAGAGTCGCACCGCATCGCCGATGCATCGGCGATGCGCCTCGATGTGGAGCTCGATTTTCTCCACGCTGGCATCTCCGATGCATCGGCTAAGTATCGGCGATGCGGCGCGATCCTTCGGCCCCATTCAACCCATCGGATTGCATTCCAGGGGCCTCTAACGTTACTCCTGCTTTTCGGCACGGTGGGCGGGGCTCGAGGTTCGACGGTCGAGGCTGTTCGGCGTCGTTCGCCCTTGTTTGGTTCTCGGGGGGGGGGTCGTCGCTCCGGCTTGAGTCCCCGCGGGATTCTTGACGCTCCGCGCATCCCCACGCGCTGCTAATTAGGCTGGCCCGCGCCCCGGACCCCCTTTCGGCGACAGCTTCACGCGTCTGCCCGCGACAAAAAAAATATCCCCACGCGCCCACCCAGAGATGTCCAGGAGGTGGACACGCATATGTTGAAGCTCTGGTATCCGGCTGCCTGCGGCAAACTCCGCCACCGTGCTAGCGCAGCTTTGTCAGGATGGTGCTACCGATGTCTCTGGACAGACTCGCTAGAACTATCGTGGACTGTGTAGGATGCGGCTCGGCATTGCGTCAGCGTGGCGCATTCGTAGCATCTCTCCCTGCTACGATTTCCCAAACATCCTATGGTTTCGGGTCCTCGTTTTGAAGCGACAGCGCCCCACATCCTCCTCTCCTCCTTCCTCCTCCACTCCTCCGCCCATCCCTGCCTCTGCCTTCTGCCCCAGTCCGTTTTCGGCACACACTTCACACGTTTCGTGGACCCATAGGGAACTCCACCGAATGCCCCAGTGGCAAAGTTCGCACAGCGTCGCCGCCCCATTTCGGCGCACCCCTCTCACGTACCGTGGCCCCATAGAGAGCTCCACCGAAGGCTTCAGTGGCAGGGTTCGCATGGTGGCGCCGTCCCATTTCGGCACACCCCTCACGCGCTTCTTGGTCCCGTGGGGGGTTCCGCAGAAGGCCCCAGTGACAGAGTTCGCATAGCGGCGCCGCCCCATTTGGCGCACCCCTCACACGCCTCGTGGTCCCTTGTGGGGGCTCCACAGAAGGCCCCAGTGGCAAAGTTGGCATGGTGGCGCTGGCGCACCCCTCACACGGCTCGTGGCCCCATGGGCCCATGGGGGGCTCCACCGAAGGCCCAGTGGCACCCCGGCACCGACATGCCCCAGCCCGCCGAATCGTGACCGTTACCAGGGGCCCCAGCCTCCCCCTAGTTAGCGACCGTCACGCGGATCTCGTAGTTGTTTCGCAATTGCCTTGGCGGAGAGATCGCCCTTCGAAAGCACACGACAGCTCAACGGGCGTCCTGATACGCCCCACCAAGTCGAAGCCGTGGTGGCTAATTTGGACTAGTCGGAATGACAAACTCGAGTTTCTCGAAAAGTCGGGCGACAAGCAGGGCAGAGTGCAGTGGACGCGACTCGACCAGGCCGATGTCAAGGCGGTCGCACTCGGGAGGGTCGCATTGGCACTGCTTGTTATCCAGCCTATGGCCTACTCGATGAAGACGGTCTATGCCTGCGGGTCCCGCCATAGCTTTGGATCTAGACCTGTGGGGCCCAAGAGTTTGTGAGGCCAGGCCAGCGAGGACGGCCTGGGCGCTCTTGGGCGGCTTGGCTCGGCCTTTCGTGTGCTGCAGGAGGCGGCCCTGACCTGGGGCCTGGGGTGAGCCTGACCTAAGGTGGCCCCATCTTCTCTGGGGAGGCCTCCGAGGCTTTCACAGCGTCCCTCACGAGGCTCAGAGCGCCCCCAGGGCTCCGACGCGAAGCGGAAAGCTGGTGACCCATGGCAAGCTTCGATTCGGGGGGGCGTTCTGAACAGGTCAGAGAACATTCAGGGATGATGCATTCGTCCACAGGGAAGGGGTCGGGTGGTTGCCGCGTGTTGACAGACATCACGACATGTTTGTTGCAATGTGGACCCGTGTGAGAAGGAGAAAGAGGGAGGAGGGTCGATCTATCTTTCATTGGTCCTCGAGAATCCTCGACCCACAATCAGTGAGGTGCCTCCTCCTGCTCCTCCTCCTCGTCCTCCTCCTCCTCCTTCTCATCCCTCTCACGTCTTTGTCGCTCTCTACCCTCTCCCTCCGCCCCTCCTTCTCCCCCTCCTCATCCTGCTCGTCCTCGTCCTCCTCCTCTTCCTCCTCCTCCTCTGCCTCCTCCTTCTCCACATCCTCCTCTGCCTCCTCCTCCCGCCCAAGCTGCCGTCCGCTACGCGCGGGGGTCCTGACGCTGGGCTCGCACGGCGGCCTTGCGGGCTCTGCGAGCCTCTCCGATCAGCTTCTTCCGCTCCAGCATCTCGTCGGTCGGGGCCAGGCACCACCGGCACGTCGTCATGCACTCGAGTAGGTATATAGCCATGTTCCGACTCCACCTAAGTGAGCGAGCCGGCTAGCATCAGCTTGGTAGCGAGCCGGCTAGCATCAGCGGCCAATGTCCAGTCAACCTTGTCACGATCGTCTTGGCTCGTGTTCGTGTAGCCCACGAACTCATTGATCTGTGCCATCAGGATGTGGACACGCTTGTCGTTGAGTTGGCCCCCGTCCTTCTCCAAGCTTGATGATAAACCACCAGGGTTCGTCATCTCTGCGACCTCCTTGCCGTCCACGAACGGGTCGAAGCGGAGGCTGGTGGAGTTTGGCGTTCTGGATCTCCTCGATGACGTGCTTGAGGAACTCCACGCTCTCGGCTGTCGTCAGGAAGCCATTGCACTCGGCAGGCAGAGACCCACGGCAAACCCGTTTGTTGGTCGCGCTGGCTCACTCGAGGGTGTGAAACGTCACAGTCTCGTCATTCATGAGCTTGGGCTCGGCCAAACCGATCAAGAAACCGCACTGCGACTTCGTCTTCTCGTCTAGAGTCTCGTCATCAACGTTGCCGTGGCTGCTGTCGCCGCATCCGAACACGATCGCGTCGTTCCAGTTCAGGTCGAGCGTGAAGGTCACCTTGAACTCGCTGTCGTTCTTGGCCGTCTTGATGGCCTTGTTGACGTTCACGATGTCACGCACCTTCGGGTTGCTCACGGACTGGGCCCCGAGCGAAGCGTGCACTGATAGGTCGGGTCGGGTCTGGCGTGCTACCCACCCGAGGGAACCAACTCCACTCCGTAGTCCAGTGATCTCCTCTGGCGGCAGCGGCGAGTTGGGCTGGTTCCTCCGGTGCGGCTCCAGGTGGATGTACTCTAGCGCGTCCACAGTCTCCGATTGGTGGATCTCGATCTTGAAGCTGCCGTTCTGGGTGACCTTCCCGCGGTACCTGAACTTTTCGTATTTGAAGGTCAAACGGATCTTCTCCTTGATCGTCTTCATGATGCTGTCAAATTCGTAGCCCGCGCCTGTGACGAACAGGTCGACGACATGTCTGTGCAGAGCAGGCCGATGAGCTTGTCAGACTTGTCCCTCAGCATGAACAGGCAGGGCTCGTACATAGACGGATGGGCCTGTTTTCCACCACCACCAACATAAGTTGGAGGGGAGAGGGGGACCCTTCTCCCTCTTCTTCTTATTCCTCCTCCTTATCCTCCATCTTCCCCCCTCCAACTTATGGTGGTGGCGGTGGAAAACATGCCCATCATAGACTCCTTCCAGCCATGCTGAATGAGGATCGCGCGCAGATGTAGCCACCACTGGCGCCAGCCATCCTTGGTGCCATAGATGGCGCCCTTCACTCGCATGAGCGCTCCTGCGTGAACTCCTGGTGGCGGCGGCCTAGGAGCCTTGAGGACCAGCATCCGCT